TTTCTCTTATGTAAATATTAATTATATCATTTACCTTTATTTTATAATTAGTATCAATTAATTATAAAAATATAAAAAAATAGATAAATTTGTAGCTATCATTTTCTAAAATGATTAACTTATTATAATAAAACTTATTATACTCACTTTAAAAGAATTTAGTAAAAAAAATATCTTTTTTTTCAAACAATATTCATGAAAAATTAATAAATTAAGTAAATAAAAAATATCTTCTTTTTAATGCAATACATTCTTGAAAATTAAGAAATTACTTAAATTATTTCAAAATTTTCTATTTAAAATTTTTATTTAAAAAATTAAATAAAAAAATTAAAGGCAAACTTATGCAAACTAGTAGAAGGCACGTGCAATGCACGTGATAAATGTTTTGTAACTTATCGAATTTTTCTTTTCATATATTTTTTAATTATTTTATAGAAATTATTTTATTTTATTTATATATATCCTTGTCTAATTAGATTTTATAAATAGATAAATATAGATGTTATATGTGATAGAGTTCTATTTTAAAATTAATTAATAATTTTTTGATATTAAAAAATAAATACTAAAATGCTAAAACTCTTTACACTTTTATATTTTACTATTAAAAGGCACGTGCGATGCACGTGATGAATGTTTTATAATTTATCGAAATTTTCTTTTCATATATTTTTTAATTATTTTATAGAAATAATTTTATTTTATTTATATATACCCTTGTCTAATTAGATTTTATTTTATTTAAAAACTCATAATAAATAGGTAAATAGAGAAGTTATATATAATAAAGTTCTATTTTAAAATTAATTAATAAATAATTTTTTAGATTAAAAAATAAATATTGAAGTACTAAAACTCTTTACACTTTTATATTTTATTTATATGTATTATTATATTATTATATATTTTCTTTAAATACATCAATGTCTAATGTGATAGAGTTTATAAAAAATAAAATAGGTAATTTGTGGTAGAGTTTTATAAAATAATTTATCATTTGTGGTAAAGTTTTATAGAAATTATTTTATTTTCTTTAAATATGTCCTTGTCTAATTAGATTTTCTTTTATTAAAAAACTCATAATAAATAGATAAATACAGGTTATATGTGATTGAGTTTTAAAGAAATAAAATAGTTTATTTGTATTAGAATTTAAGTAATCTGTGTTACTGTTTTATAGAAACTCTTTTAATATATCCTTATTTAATATGGTGGCTTCCCGAGCGTGTGCACAAAATGATGCACAAGCACTTTAAGTGTGGAACTAGTGTCAAGTGGGCACCATACTTTAAATTTATAAACCGCCTAACACCTATACTAAGCCATTAATCCTTCCTTTAAGATCACAATCCAAACACATCACAAGGTTAGAGACATATACTACTTGCATTCATATGCATGAAACATCAAACACTAAGCATGGATTGTCCTCCCATCTAAGAAACTAAGGTAACTACACTACAACTAAGCTAATGACATAAAAATTAAACTAATTAAACTAAGGGAGAGGCACAATCTATCAAGAAATGAGTGTGAACCATCAAATAAACCAAAAGAGTATTCTATTAAGAACTCTGCATTTACAAGCTCTAGATCTATAGCATTAATACATATAGACATGCATCAACAATACAAAAACTAGAGATAAACACATGAATATCTATTCTAGAATACATAGACATATGGATAGAATTAAATGATCAATTGGAAGTATTAAACCACATAAGTCATTGAATAAACAAGATTCATATATAGATAAGTGTCAAGACAAGTATTACAACATAAATCCCCTCAAAATACATAGCATCAAGGGTTTAGAAAGTATGCTTAGGGCTAACTCTACCCCCAAGAAGATGTTTAGTCACTCATTGATGTAGTCCTCCAACCCTCAAGGGCTATCTCCATGGTAGGTATGCTCTTTTTCTTAATGAAAATCCTAGATGAATGGAAGAACACCCAAAAATGGTGTCTCTAGCCTCCTATCCTCTCTTTTCTTGGTCCCTAAGAATGTATCTAAGCATGTAATGTCTCTCTTTGCAAAAGTGGCTCAAATCTTTATATAGGTAGCTCAAGTGTCACACCCAATGGTCTGAACTCGTGCACAATGGCTCCTCCAATGATTGCACCATTTGCCAACTTTTAATGAGCGGGAATTTGATTTAATTAGCACTTGAGAGGGTTGGATCGATCGACCATTGATGAGATCGATCGATCGAACTTAGGTGAGATCTATCAAACTTTGGCTAGATCGATCCATCCTTGGCGGTGCCTTTTTGGATAAAGACAAATCTGAGATATTTTTGGGATATTTTTGGAAAAGGACAAAAAGTGGTAGGTGGAGTGGTAGGTGTGGATAAGATGGAATAATTTCGATCGATCTGAGAAGAGTTAGATAGATCAAAGATGGTGAGATCTTTTGGACAAGGACAAAGACTTGGATCCATCTTGATGAGGCTTAGATCGATCTTGCTCTGATCGATCGAACATTGATGCGATATGGTCGTCGTCCTACCACATAGCTTAGAAGGCGGATTAAGGTGAGAGGCCAAGTTTTACATTTATAATTGCCACTACTACCTTTCACTAAAATAGTTAGGGCGAGTAGGGATCGTCCCAAGGAATTGGTGGGTCGTATTGGTTGTGGAATCAAGATTAGGGTTAATAAAT